GGCTCGACTTCTAGGGGTATCGTATCTTCCCATCGAGCTTGCCTCTTGAGCTTGACCTCTAAGGGCATATTATCTTACCATCGAATCTTCCCTCTTAGGCTCGACTTCTAGGGGTACGATATCTACTGCTCGAGTCTTGTCACTTGACCTTAACCTTTAGGGGCATGGTAGCTTCCCACCAAGTCTTGCCTTTTAGGCTCGACTTCTAGGGGTACCGTATCTTCCCATCGACACTTGCCTCTTAAGCTCGACTGCTAGGGTACCGTATTTTCACATGAGTCTTGCATCTTGGGCTTAACCTGTAGAGGCATGGTATCTTTCCATTAAGTCTTGCCTCTTAGGCTCGACTTCCAAGGGTACCGTACATTCTCATCGAAGCTTACATCTTGGGCTTGACCTCTAGCGGCATGATATCTTCCCATCGAGTCTTTCCTCTTGAGAGAAGTACCATACCATCCCATCGGGTCTTGTCTCTTAGACTTAACCTCTAGTGGCATGGTATCTTCCCATCGAGTCTTGCCTCTTGGGCTCGACTTCCAAAGGTGACGTATCTTCCCATCAAGTCTTGACAGGGGTAAGGATGGAGACCTCGTCTGTCGCATGCCCTCAAGGGGACTTTCCACACAAAATAACTTTCGTAAGAGAATATGAAAGTTTCACTGAATAACAATTGTTTAAAGTAACATGAAAAATCTTGCTAGAATAAAATTAAGAGTTTATATACTAGCTTTTTACTCAAATAAGATAATTTGGAATTGTACTTCTCATTCGATAACCCCGACGAATTCTTCACATTCTCATCGCTTCGTTTTTGTAAGTAGCGATTCAAGTGATCTTGGCATATCAAAAGTTTAATTTCTTCCTTTAATTGAAAATATTTTTCTGTTAAATGTCATTTTCTTGGTGGAAATGACAATATTGATATTGTTCTCTACCATCTGTATTTTTTAACGGTATGGGCCACTTGACAACCTTTTCATCATTGATGGTCATTAGGATGTTGACAAGTGACGTGTTGAGTGGTGTGTATTCTTTTTCTGATCAAGGCTAGCGATTCTCCTGCGGTTCGAACATCTCTCGTTGTAAAATTTGATTGGTATCTCCAGCATTATTCTTGTGACTGACCCTCAATCGCTTGAATTACACTCGTGTGCATTGATAGTCTCATCTGCAGAGATTTGAGCTTCGACACGATAGACAAAATTCGCTTAAAAGCAAACCGTCTCCTGCATGAGTGATGAGTAAAAAGGTTCTGAGCGAAACCTTCAAAGAAAGACTCCTCTCAGTAACTCTAGATCCACTCTCGAAATCTGTTGGGCTTCATTGGAGAACCTGCGGAAGTATTCCTTGAGAAATTCCCCCTCATTTTAGCAAACTCTTGATGAGTGGGATGAATCTTTGATGATCCATCTATTTTCTATGAAGAGCTCTACAAATAGTTTGACAAGCTCATTGAAGATGTTGATGATGCCCCCCCTTGGGAAGGAATAAAATCATGCTCGAGCTTGACCCATGAGAGTTGCAGGGACACTTGATAGAGAAGAACATCAAAGACGCAATGAATGTGCATGATAGTTCGATAGTCGTCGACGTATTTGTATGGGTCAGTTACACCTTCGTATGCATCAAAATTCGGGAGTTTGAAGCTCACTGGGATATGGTGTTTGAGAATCGCGTCAACCAAAGGAGAGGATTTTTGGAAGTTGCAGCGAGCAGGAAAGTGGTCCCCTTTATCCAGAGGGAACTCTTCCCGAACAGGCGTTGTAACTCATCACGGATGATATCAGAGAAGCGACAGTAAGGCGGGGCGGTGCCAGGTGAGCTGCATGAGATGGATGAGTAGAACTTGCAATGTTAAGGAGAACGGCGTATCAACAACAATGTCACATATGTGTGTGTTTATATATATATTAAAAGCATAATTACTCACCTTAGCCTTACTTGAAATCAAATTCTAATTTTTATATCTTGGAATCAATTAATCTTAAATCTTGATTCCAACCAATAATTAATATGATTTAACATTAATATTATGATAAATATCAAATTTAAATTAATAAATTTAAAGCGTTAATTTTATTTACATTAAACCTTTTTCCTCCGTCTTCATATAGTCTCCTTGTTTCAAAACTTTCGTTGTTTCTTCTTCTTCTTTTCTTTGAGTTTCACTCTTTTCAAACCTCTCTTGTTCGGTTTGAACTGAAACAAAGATTTATCCTCATTTGATTTCCCACAAGAGGCACTTCTACTCTAAATGGCATTGGCATAGGTAAAGTAGTATTATTTACTTTTTTTTAATGGTTATTACAATTTTAACATTTTTTATATCAATTTGTTCAACCCACAGTTTGATCCCGATTGAACTATTGAAACTTCAACCTCTCATTCTTTTAGTCAATAATCAAACAAATTTTTAACAACATTGGATAAGATAAAAAGTTTGATTTTTAATTTGAATTTGAGATTTTTTATATTTGTCCTAAAAAATCGATTTTAATCAAAGTGATAAATTTATAAGTTTGTATGAATAAAAATAATATTGAGATTATTTACAAAAGAAAAAAATTTTGGGGCATTCATCTCAAAGGGTTAAATTATCAAGTAAGATATACAAATTATAATATAGAGAGCAAATTTCTCGAATATGTTCTATGTGCACATATAGTTAATTAGATTTTTATGTATGGAAGAACAGAAATTCATGTTTATGAAAAACATGTTCACAACCTTATTCATGAGTAAAATGACAGCACGGAAATTTTGTTCATTCCAACTTGCAATCAAATGCATTCTAATTATAAAAATGTTTTATTATTTGGTGACCATTTTTAATGAATGCATCTAATATATGTAAACTACACATTTGTATGCACTGTTAATCAACATATTTTAAAACAAATAATATGTTTATTTAAATATTTAATGACGAAAATATATTAAACTTAAGAACGAGATATTCATAATATATGTACAATTTGGGCGACAAAGGTAAACCTATAAATAAATAATGATAACTTGTATAGGTCTGGCAACAAAGATGAACCTTATATAACTATGAGACCTATACATGTAGGGTAACAAAGATGAGCTTATATGGTAAAAAAGGGTCCTAAAGCTATTAAGTTTAACACATGCAGGTATGGCAACAAAGGAGAGCTCTTACATAATGGTCATTAAAATAAATCAACATACATTATATATTCTAAAACTTAAGGAAATTGTTCTCTTCCATGCAAAGTAACGATTGAAATAAGAAAAATAAAACAAATATATGAAAATTTTAACTAATTTGATATCAATCGTATATATGTCAAAACAATATTTGTAACATTATAAATGTTAATTTTCATTTTAGTTTTTTCTTGGGAAATTATTTTATGTATTATTTAATCAATTGTGTTCATATGACTTACTTTTAGAACGATAAGAAATGAGATTAGTACATGTTATTTATTTTAAATTCTCAGATTATTTAAATTTTCTGTTAAACTTGCTTATCTTGTTAAGTCTCGTAACTCACTAATTTATTATAACTATTTTTACGAGAAAGAAAAAAATATTGAGGCTGAGTGGAATAACTAAAATTGTATTATCATATTTTGTTGTGCGGCTATTGTAAGATAGAGAAATTGTAAGATAAAGCATATTAAAAAAATTATATTTTAACAAGAGTTCTGGTGTGTTTAACCACTCTATAGATATATTTAAATGATACGATTGATTTGTTTCTGCTTAATCTGAATATTTTTATTTGATTGGAATAATGTGTTATATATTGTTCCAAGTGAATTTAGATGATTGAATTTATCTCACATGCTATCCTAATGATTAGAATATCTTAATGAGTGTTGGAGGTAAATTTAATCAACTGAATCACACCCAGCTCTGTTATGTCCCACGTCGAATGATAGCGGGGCCCTGGGACGTGACATGTATAGCTCGATGTTTATTCATGAATTCATGAATATGCATCATGACTAAAAAGCTACTTGGGCAAAATAATACTTCCTACCTCCTCAACTGAGCAAATATGCACACTACATAAATTTAGCAGCCTGCAGTGAAGTTGATATTGTTTGAACGCCTATGTTTAGCATCATTACAAAATTAAACAAGAAAACTTAAATCCTTCTTTATAAGCATCTCCCGCCCACACTCATTTCATACAAATCACAACTTCCCAATCAACCCAAGCCACTGCCCTTTGATATCCAAAAAAAAAAAAAAAACGAAAAATTAATGCACCAACCCCACTCTCTATCCCTGTCCCACCCCTGCCACTTTACCATGAAAGTAACTGAACTTCTGTCTAATAACCATGCACCTTATCTTGGCAAGGTAGGGAAATACTTCTCAAGCAAACAACCTAACTCACCACCGCCACTCCATAAACATATCTTAATATATGTATTTTATGTGCCTGCCTACATTTATGTAATGTAAGAATTACGTACTTGAACAATGCATATGAGAGAAAACTGTCATACAGTCCAAAAATTTCTTTTTTATTTTTTTGGTCATTTTTGACATTTCAAATTAGGCAGAAACCAAATTTTCTTTTATTCTACAGTTGTAACGTTGCTTAGAAATTCTAAGGTTTTGATGGCCAAGAAAGTCATAATATTTTTTTAGACGTATACCTTGAAGATTTAGCATAGCTAATATTTATGTCAATTTTGAACTTTATATTTTAAGACATGAATAGATTTTCGAAGAAGTTTCTTTGGCATTACTGATTTTCTCGAACAATTTTGTTTCCCGTGCATGATGCCAACACTCCAGACAAACTCAAACGTTTTTATTTTCATTTTGCAGCTTCTATGTAAGAAAATCAAACTGATTGTAGAGATCCAACAGCAGTAGACTCAAAAGCAGGAGATCAGAAAAAAAATAGAAACGCTAAAAAACCAACATTTATTGATTATAAGTATTAAAAGAGACATGAGGGATATCCATCGCCAGCATAACTTATAAAAAAAATTAATAGAAAAAAGGCCTACCTTCAAAGCCATAAATGCATCTTCCATGGCTCTTCGTCTAGCAACAGAGTCAGCTCGCTTCAAGTCAGCCTAAAATTAGGAAATCCAAGATTACCGAGATATTAAGCCTATCATTTATGAACATCAGACTTAAAAAAAGTTTCATAGGAATGATATGAGAAAGCATAATTTGGTGTGAAAAAGGAATGAAACATAGTGGATTATCAACACGAAGCAACACATATGAATAATGCAAAAAAATTCTATGATGCTTTATGACACCAAAAGCAATGAAGCATAAGCAACGATTCATTAGAAACAAAATATGATAGAAAACAATTGATAGAAATTCCAGTAGGGAGAGATGTCATTCTGATTGTTTGGCTGGGAAAAAAAAAACATGCATCTAAACTGTCAGATGCAATATTTCAGAAAAACAAGTTTTTGTATCCATTTTGCCTTAACTGAAATTTTTTATTTTCAAACAGATACATTGTGGAAGCCTCCAATCAGTCCATTATCTTCTTTGGATCACAAAAGTCCTTATTGGCCTTTCTTGCTTCAAGTATTTTAACTGTATACAGTAATTTTACAGTTGAGCACATGAATATATTTTTAAAAATCGTGAGAAAATTTTAAAATCATAAAATGATATGGAACGCAGATAGTCCTTTGTCCGGGAACAAAACCTGTATCCAGGACCGTATCCACTCTTCCTTATTTCCGCAATTTCTATTACTAGCACCAGCATGTTTTCACTTGTGTCAACATCCCGTTTCTGGGTTGTGGAGGTTGCGGCACTGAAGGAGATAACTGGTGCATGCATTACTCAATACTTCCTAGGTCTTGTTGCGGTAAACGGTTTACAATAAGAATTTGAGGAGTTCTAAATGTGGCTGAAATTAATTTTATTCTTTGGATTTAACATAAGCTTGAATCGAGATGATCATATGCCAAACACATCAACTAACTTTAGAGATGGGGAGTCTATACATAGCTTTTTAAAGGCATGTAATTAAAAAATCTTGGCTTAGTAAAATTTCTTTTTTTAGTTTCAATATTGTGAATGCAATGTATGTTTTTTTTTTAGATAGAAATGCAACTACTTAATTTGGAGTAAGCTGTCTCCTCGTATCAGCATGAACAGATTTTTCATATTTTCATAATTTTATTCCTTATATTTCATCCATAAAAAGTGATTATTAATAGTTTAGTGCTCTTGATTTTGATAAAAAATTGGCACATGAAAAATAAAATTTATGATAATTAAATTGCAATAAATCATTCATTTTAGGGTAATGAATATATCCGTGATAGGTTTGGAGTAGCTCCAGTGACGAACAAGATTAGAAAGTCATTTTAGATGGTTTGGTCACATTAAACGTCGATCATCTGAAGATCTGGTTAGGAGAGTACATGTTTTAGATTCGACTTATGTTAAGAAAGATAGAGGTAGACCTAAAAAAACTTGGGCATATTGTATGAAAAATGATCTTAATTTATTAGAAGTAAATAAAAATATGATAGTCAATAGGACACAATGGAGAAAAAGGATTCATGTAGCCAACCGCACTTAGTGGGATAAATGCTTCTTCTTGTTGTTATTGTAATAAATCATTGATTTTAAATTATTCCAAATATTGCTTAAATTTTCATATTTTAATCATTTCCTTCTAATTCTAGAATTATGTATCTACATTTGAGAAAAGTAATTGGTTGAACTATATGGTGACTTAAGATCTATCAATCCTCAATTTCCTCTACATGACGTCATATTACACAACATATTAATTTCATTAGAAAATCCTAACCCTAAGTTGTCCTACCTCAAATTGATATCATCATTTAAGGTTTCATCATCATGCACCAAAATGTGGCACATATTAATTGGGTAAATAAAAATTTAATCAAAAGAGTAATTTAAATAGACTGAGAAATCATAGTTCTAGTCAAGGATATGACTATCGTGAACTTCAAAATTATATTCCAACAACCAATGAGATGTAACGATCATAGAAATTTCAAGTAGAGCCATAATTTAAAAGATTTCTTTGAAAAATGATAATTTACATGATTCCCAAAGATTTGAATGAGCCAAATCAAATCTATTGGGTCAAAGTTCATCATTTTGGCAAGTTGCTACAAGGTCGTTAGTTTGGTTGCAATGAAACACGAACTTAAGGAAAAATATTAATTATTTGTTGAAAATAATGATCAACTATATGATCAATTTAAAAATGTCAATAAGTTGAATAACTAAGTAATAGGCAAATTTCATGACTTAAAGATAAACAGTATTTGACTTAAGATTATTTAATAAAATTATTTTTCACTAATGGTATTAAGTGAGAAATTAGGGAAGAATTAATCTAGAATTTACATACATTGTTTTATACATAGCTTTCGATCATACAACAACAAGCCTTTACCCCACTAAATGAGGTCGGCTTACATGAATCCTTTTCCTCCCTTGAGACCTACATAGTGACATACTTTCAATTTATTCTAATAAATTAATATTATTTTTTATACAATATGCCCAAGTCTTTTTAGGTCTACCGCTACCTTTCTTAACATAAGTCAAATCTAAAACATCTATTCTCCTAACAGGGTCATCAGATGGTCGATGTTCAAACTATCTAAGGCGACTCTCGTTATCCTACCTGTCACTGGAGCTACTCCAACCCTTTCACGAATATATTCATTTCGCATTTTGTCTCTAGTGTAAAGCCACCCATCAACCTAAGCATTCTCATCTCAATAACACTTACATTTATACTTCTCTTTTACAAGCCAACATTCTGCGGCATAAAGCATTGCAGGTCTCACCACCATCATATTAAATTTTCCTTTAAGAGAAACTTTTCTATCATATAATAGGCCAGATGCATTCCTCCACTTCAACCATCCAATTGAATTCTACTAATAATGTTCATTCCGCATTTTGTCTCTAGTGTAAAGCCACTCATCAGCCTAAGCATTCTCATCTCAATAACACTTACTTTTATATTTCTCTTTTACAAGCCAACATTCATACTCGTTGAGTTTGATTGCCCAAACAGAAGGGTAGTATCTTTCACTGAGCAAGAAGTAGAGGAGGCAGAGGGTGAAAACCTAAAAGAGGACAATTGAGAGTACTAGCTACCCAAAAATGAGAGGGAGATGCTTGTAATGGGTCCTTGAAACTGAGCCCACGTGAGAGCAATAATGGCTCCGCCATAGCATATTTCATACACGTTGCACCATGAATAGAAAAGTATGCATCCTCATTATAGATGGAGGTAGCATGAAAATGTGGCGTCTACACAACTGGTGGATAAATTGAGGCTTACTACTTAGAAGCATTCTCAATCATATTTCCTGACTTGGTTGGAGAAAAAAAGAATAGTGTTAATAGAAGGTTCCACATGAAGTTTTTTATTGGAAATATGTTTTAGTAGCAAGTGTGATCTGACATGATATCTATGGATGCATGTCCGGTCCTATTAGTTCCTTGGTAGTATAATCGTTACACATATCACGATTGCTACAAGAACAATTGTTCTTTCACCAAAGATGAGAAGTGAATTATACACTTTCCTTGAAAAGATTCTAAGGTGTTTGAGGATGTGGTGGCATGAATCATCTTTTTGCAGGTCTTGAGAAGAGCGCCAACAGAACAAGCATTAGTTGTTCAAGAATATGATGAGTTTGAGACATCAATACCAAACACAAGGCGATCCGCGTTGCGAGTGACACGACATCTCATCATTTCCGGTAGAACTGAGAAGTCTCTGAGATATATTTGGAAAGTTCTACGGAGTAAGTTGGGTGCTAAGTTCCAGTTCAGCTCAATTCAGCAGTGTTAAAAATTTCTTTAGATGCTTTGTGGGAAAGGAAATATGACAGTATGATATAGGCCCTTCCAGAAAAGAAGAAGCTTATCCTAGATCAAGAGAATGAAGCAGAGCGTCTATTTTGGGGTCTGCGGAATCACAAAATCCATCAGGACACGAGATCACGAGAAGCCACGATTTGGCTGCAATACACCCAACTGAATCACCCGAATTTTTCAATTTTAAATATATTTCCTTGATTTATTTTCTATTCATTTCTTTCCTATTATTCCTATTTTTAAGTTGTGTTTTTACTCGGGGAATATTTATATGTTATTTTTTGGGTTTGGACACTTTATTTACTTTAAGTATTTTGGATTTTAATCTTTATTTCTACCCTAAGGATTGTCGTATGATCTTCCTTTTGCAAATGATAAGTTTGTATCTTGCTCAGGAATAAGTAGTGGATCCTCTTCGCGGCTCGAAAATTACTGATTCGAAGGTTTTTCCACAGTTTGCCATAGGGATAGTTGCGGACGACATCGAACCTGTTGTCCAACAGTAGCTTTATCCCCGTACTCTCTTCCAAACGCTATAATCCCCACATATTAACCTTCCCTCACTATTCTCAAATATCTTCTAGGAGCCCTAGAACAGTACCAAAAAGAGTGAGCGATCAAACAGGCAAAGAGAAAAAAATAAAAAACTAGTGACTCGGAGTGAGAGAGCGAGCACGTGAGTAGAGAGGCGTAAAAGGGAGACTGAGTGTGGGCAAGCAGAGGCTAAAGTGAGCAAGCACGTGACAAGTAAAGCATGCATGCACCAACCAAACAAGCAAAATGGCTAGGGTAAGGATGTTGAACAAGATTTAGATGTCAATTTAAAACAAAGAGTGGATTTAAGGTATTGGAAATGCATTTATTCCTCTCTTCTCCAAATGTGAAACATGATAAACCAAATCTAGATCTTTAAAATTAGAAGCTCTCAATTTAATTTTATTCACAAAATGATTTGTTAAAACTTTAGAGCTTTGGATTTTGATGGAGAGTAGTTTAAGAAGGGAAAGAAATAACATTTTGATTTTTAAGAAAGCATTATATGCAAAAACGATATTTAGATTGTACATGTAAACTAGAAAATTTTGAAATTTTATATTAGGTCTTTGTTGTTGTTGTAGTTCTCTTTTTTTTCACAAAAGTACAAGAACAACAACAACAACAACAACAAGAAGCCTCTATACCACTAAGTGGGGTCGGCAACATCAATCCTTTTTCT